TTGTACACATATCCAGCACGACGCTGGAGAAAGAAGAGGAGAGCTAACCCTCCAGAGGACCCTCATTTAGCCTTCCAATCTCTAAAGTCCGGTACGCAGCCACTCACTTCCTCTGTCAAATAAAAATAGAGATATGTTGTTTATGGCTGTTTCATGTAATTTCCTTTGTGTAGGCCATTCATAGATTGGTGTTTAGGTATTTGTTTCATTTTCATGTAATTAAACGTTATATTAAATTGTATGTTTTGATGAAATTTCTATCCATCTCTGTCCAGTTGCCTATGGATGTGAATGTGCGTGTGTATGTTTCAGAGCTGGATCTGGGGCTTAAGAAAGATGTTTTCTCCAGTGATGGCAGCAGCTTAGAGGCACTTCTGAAGGGAGAGCCAGTGGACAAAAGATCCGGGTTGGAGCTCCGCACAGCGGAAGAGGAGCCCAGCTCTACAGAGTACTCTTCCGGGGGACTAAACCCCAGCAGCAGGGTCCGTAAGGTACTGAGAAAACAGCTTATGGTTTTGATTGGAGCTGTCACTGTTTTTCATTGAAATCTCGCCTTGCTTAGTTATTCTGTCTGATTGGTTTTCACCCTTTTGTGTGTGTAGAGAATTTTGGAGCCAGATGATTTTCTAGATGATCTAGACGATGAAGATTATGAAGAAGATACTCCAAAGAGACGGGGAAAAGGCAAGGGAAAGGTGAACTCTTGATCTTATAAACTTGCATGCATGTACATAGTATTTACACACAACCTAATTGGTGTCAACAAAACACCTCTAAAAGGTTACATTTATGATAAAAACGGTTTCACAGGGTCGTGGTGTCAGCAGCGCTCGGAAGAAGTTGGAAGCAGCAGCTGCTTTGGAGGATCGAGACAGACCGTACGCTTGTGACAGTGAGTCATATACAGCATTCAAGGAAACCACATGACTCAGCCTGCTGACCTCTCGGTGATCTCATCTGGAGATCGACTTCTCTTTGCTTTAAAAAGGCTGAGCTGTACTGTAACACATCCAGTCATAATCAAAGATCTGTGTCACCCCTTCTCAGCAAAGCTGTCATCATGAGCTTCACCACATGAAAGCTTGCAAAAAATACCAAACATTATCATTTTCAAGGTTGTCCATCATCTGACACACTGAACTTGAGAATAATTTGTCAGTTAGCTCTTTCTTGTCTACTCATGAAACCAGAAGTACATAAATAAATAAATTTTTGTTGAAAACAAAAAGCATATTCCTTTATACTATATGCTGTGGTTTACCAATCCCACATATAGCCTGGTTAAACAAGTAAACTTAATCTTCTAAACCAGAGGACAATTTCTACTTGATATCCATTTGGTTTCAGGTCTCGTGTTGTTCTTTCATAGTTCTGGATTTCTATTCTCAGCATTTGTGTCTTTGCCCTTAAATGTGTCATGATACTGTGATTGTGATGCAGATGTTCTTTATGAGTTTATTTTTCCTGATTTCCTGATTCTTGTTGTCAGTCTGTGAGTCTTTCTGTCTTTCTTTCTCTCCTTTTCTTTCTCTTTTCTCTCTTTCAGACACTTTCAAACAAAAGCATATTTCAAAATCTTCCGAAAGAGGTATCTTTCTCTCTTTCCATCTAGTTCTCCTTTCCTCATTCTCTTTGTCTTTTTCTTCTCCTTCCCCACCCGCTCATGTCTTGGTTTCCCTCTTTCTCTTTACTCTGTGCGCATTGCAAACATGATTTGTGCCTGACAAGAAAATGCACTGAACTTTTATTTGAAACTAGGGGTTATTGATGGCTACATTTTACACATTCAACTACATTTTCTTACGTAAGGAAAACTGCCTGAACAGCCTTAAGTCTGACAGCTGCTTCACAGGAAGACATTTTTCCACAGAATTCATTTATTTTTTTCCCCCTAAAAACGCTTAACTGCCTCTGGGCAATGTGAAATGTTCAGACACGTTCAAGCAGGTTGTTTGTGGCAGCATGGCTTAATATCACTTCCCAGACTGAGGTACTCTCATCGTGAATGGTTTGAAAATAACTTTATACTTACAGTTATAACTGTCTGTTTCTAACAGTTTACTCTCATGCTTCATATGAATCCGTATCAGCAGGGACCTGGTGATAAAATATTATTAGATTATTATTATTATTATTAGAATTTTTTTTTAATAAGAGAAATCTCTTACGCTCACCATGACTGCATTTATTTGATCAAAAAGACAGTAAAACAGTAACATTATTGCAAGTAATATTGTTACAATAAAAAAAAACTGTTTTCTATTTTAATATATTTTAAAATGGGATTTCTGATTCTTGAAATGAAAAGCTGATTTTTCAGCATCTATTACTCTAGTTTTCATCAACAATAGAAATCTTTTGTAATAATGTAAAAGCCTATACTGTCACATTTGATCAGTTTAATGCATCCTTGTTGAATAGAAGTATCACTTTCTTTCAAAAAGAATATTACTGAACTCACTTTTGAACATTTGTGTATATCCATGTCTAGGTCCCAATACATCAATATTTCATTTTGTTTGTTTAGTGTGTAGTTAATCAGCTGTGGTGCATTGCAATATTTTATTCATTTTACTTTCATCTGTATTAGGCTTCAGTGCTTTGTTCAATTATATTCTAAGCATGCAATTGATTCTACTGGACATTTCTCCTCCTCGTACACTTTCTCTGATTGGTGGTCAATCTCCTTTTTCACAAAAACATTTGTGAGAAACATTTATCTTAATTGGATATTCTTGTCGTAGAATAATTACAATACTTTAAAATATAGCATTTAAAGATATACATAGAAGTTGTTTGGAATGTAAATTGCTTCTCTTTATCTCCCTCTATTATTCACGTCTCTTTGTGCTTCAATACCTGCTCTGTGTTGTCTCTCTGTAACTCTCTCGTTTCCCAGTTTTTTATTTTGCTGCTTGTAATACTCATCCTTCTCTTCGCCTCCAGGTTGCTCCCTGTTTTTCTCATTCCTTTTTTTGATTAGAGTGAAATAGTGACTCTGCTTTTATGTTGCCAATGGACTTATTACTCCCGTTTCCCGAATGTGTGATACTTATGGTATTAAAGTGCCCCTGTTATGCCATTTTGAATATTGCCTTTCATGCAGTGTGTAATGTAGCTGTATGTGAATGCAAACGATCTGCAAAGTTGTAAAAACGAAAGTGCACGATAAATAAAGTTATTGTCTCACAAAAGAAAGAATCGACCCTGAACAACCTGAACGAGTCGTTAGTAACACATTTGCATAATGGCCGCCTATGTTCTACGTAGGCCGGCCGCGAACAACTTGACCCGCCCTCAAACACGTCATTTTACTGACGACTGCTTCTCTAATCTCTGTGAGTTCAATGCGGGATTCACAAAATGCTTGCTCTTGAAAGATGGCGCTGTACCCAGTTTATTTGGACCAGCTACCTCTACTGAATCACAACTTGTAAGTATGATTAATAATAGATGTTTATATTTTCTATCAAGCGTTTAAAATACAGAACTATGACAATGGGCATATTGTGTCCGACACGCACTGTACGCGGTAGACCAATCACAACAGACTGGGCCAGCTGACCAATCAGAGCAGAGTAGGCTCACGGAAAGGAGGGGTTTAGCAACACTGAACCTTAGAACTGCTTTGAACAAATCATTTGAGAATCGCTGGAAAATGAGGTGATACTAAATGCATATTTTGAGAAAACTAAAGTGTTGTTTGACCTTGCATGCATGTAAACCTATTGTAGGAGACTCCCAAAACAATTTTAGGAATGTTAAAAATGGCATAATAGGGGCACTTTAAAGGGATAGTTAACTCAAAAGTGAAAGTTGTGTCATCATGCACTTACTATCATGTTCCGACCAAATAACTTTCTAGTGTCGAAAACTAAGAGTTATTTAACAATGACCAAGCTGCTATCGTTGGTCACTATTTGCTTTCACTATATTGAAAAAAGGGCGCTTGGTTCTATGCAAGGAAATAAGTCATACCATTTTGGAATGACATGGCTGATGTTCATTTTGTGGTGAACTATTGCTTTTATTTGAATGGAACATATTGGGTGATCTTATTAGCAAGCATATTAACATTTGTCATGCTGTTGAGGAATGAGAATTAATGAGCATCAGGAGAGCCAGGAACGGTGGAATGACCTCTCATGCATGAGAGTGCTTTTAGTGTGAAGCAGCAGTGCCCCATGTGCTGAAGTACAGATCATGTTTCAGTGCATAATGACAATTACAGGTGCTTATAACTTGTCATTGTACTCTGTGTGTGTGTGTGTGTGTGTGTGTGTGTGTGTGTGTGTGTGTGTGTGTGTGTGTGTGTGTGTGTGTGTGTGTGTGTGTGTGTGTGTGTGTGTGTGTGTGTGTGTGTGTGTGTGTGTGTGTGTGGAATGACCTCTCATGCATGAGAGTGCTTTTAGTGTGAAGCAGCAGTGCCCCATGTGCTGAAGTACAGATCATGTTGCAGTGCATAATGACAATTACAGGTGCTTATAACCCATGATTGTGCTCTGTGTGTGTGTGTGTGTGTGTGTGTGTAGTCTGTGGGAAGCGCTATAAGAACAGGCCTGGTCTCAGTTATCATTACGCCCACTCTCACTTGGCTGAGGAGGAGGGGGAGGAGAAAGATGAGATGGACATTCGCGAACCAACTCCACCCCAACAAGACGAACCGAAGAGTAAGCAATTAATCATGCTTCTTGTTGCACAGACCCTGGTAGCCAAATGAACAGAGGCCATTTAACTGTCACTTTGAGTGACATGTTTTACAGTGTTTTGCAATAAAACTAAATATATATTTCTTATAAACTGTAACTGGCTGGCACAGTGTAATTCGCATAAGTATTGACAGTATGGCTTTATTTCAAAACCATGTGAAGTGCTTTGCCTGTCTTCTAAGGTAGCGTCCTAAATGAAACCTCATAAGTGGCCAGTTTGGAATGCTCGACGAAGGCAGCATCTCACAGGATTTTAAAATGCCATCAGCTTAATAGTTTTAAACAAATGTTTCAGCTTCTAGGGGCAGTGTTGGATTGTGTCATTTTCATTGAACTCTGATTGATGCTAGGTGTTTTCTGTTCTCTTTCTGTCTCTCGGCCAGCTCCTAAGAAGGGCCCAGACGGTTTGGCTCTGCCGAACAACTACTGTGATTTTTGTTTGGGAGATTCTAACCTGAACCAGAAAACTGGCCAATCAGAAGAGCTTGTGTCCTGCTCAGACTGTGGCCGTTCTGGTAAAACAGCCAAACACACACATTCACCTGCTTGCTTTCTTTGGATTTTTCTTGACCAAGTTATCATTGATCTGTTCTCTGTTCTCAGGTCACCCCTCGTGTCTGCAGTTCACTCCAGTAATGATGGCTGCTGTGAAAACCTATCGCTGGCAGTGCATTGAATGCAAGTGCTGTAACATATGTGGAACCTCAGAAAATGATGTGAGTTTGTTTACCTCTATCTAGACATAAAAGCATATCGGCTGCCTTAATCTCTTAAGCACTAGGTAGTATTTGTTTTCTAAAACAATGCTTGAGTTATCAAAGAATATCAAATTTAAAAAAAGAAATTTACTTAACCTCCTCAGTGAAAACTAGTCCTGTTCTTTCTCTCAGTTCATTATGCATCCTTATTTGGATTCTCTGTGAAGTAGTCTCACATGCTTTGCCACAGGACCAGCTGTTGTTCTGTGATGACTGTGATCGAGGTTACCACATGTACTGCCTCTCGCCCCCCATGTCTGAACCTCCTGAAGGTAAAGCAACATACAGTAATACACACACCACTGTTAAAGTTTTGGAGTCATATATATATATATTTTTTTTTATTTAGCAATGATGCATTAAATTGATTTTAAAAAAGTAACAGTAAAGACATAATGTTTCAAAATATTTAATTCAAGTTCCTTTGAATTAAAGAGTCCTGAAGAAAATGTATCAGGTTTAAAAAAAAAAAAAAAAGCAACTCAACTGTTTTTAACAGTAAAAATAAGAAATGTTTCTTGAGCACCAAATCAGCATGTTAGAATGATTTCCAAAAAAATCATGTGACACTGAAGACTGAAACAATGACTTCTCAAGACTGGAGTAATGGCTGCAGAAAATTCAGCTTTGCCATCACAGTAATACATTACATTTTAATTAAATAAATACATAATAAAAAAAATAAACTAGTTATTTTAAATTGTAATATTTCACAGTATTCTTGTCTTTACTGTATTCATGCAGCCTTTGGTGAGTAAAAAAAATCTTACCAACCCCACAATTTTGAACAGTAACCTATGCTTATCGAAAGACATAGAGTTGTCTTAAGGCTGGAATATAATACAAGATTTTTGCCCCGATTTACAGACTGGACAAGTTGATGCTAGTTTTACAAAGCTAGAGCCAGATTTGAGATTTCACAGAAAATCACATAGTGTATGATGATCGCAGACTTTTTAGCTTCAGACTGTGAATCGATCCAGTCGGAGGATATTAAACATGTTTGATATTTTGAGCTGATTTTAGAACACATTTTCATTTGTCATGTGTCTCCTAGCAAATAGGCATGTGTTTCTGCATGAGTTTGTTGTGTTGTGTAATGTGTGATCCTTGGTAGTTTAGTGTCTGATGTACAGTTTTTCCTCTGTAAGTATTTACAAATTCGGCAAGTTGTATGATGCCTAGCGTTTTTAAAATCTGTAAGATATTAAAAGTTGTGTAGTGTTTTCCAACCTTTATATACTGTATAGCTAAATCACTTTTGCATTTGTTTTGATTAAAAAGGTTCCATTTAAGAACAATATGAATAAGATATAAGTGAATAACTGTATTATTTAATTCTTTACAGGAAGTTGGAGTTGTCATCTGTGTTTGGCCCTCCTGAAGGAGAAGGCTTCCATATACCAAAATCAGAATGCACCGCCATCGTGATGGCCTTTTTGGAAAGACAGACCCTCTTTCACATAGTTCCCTCCAAGATTTGTTTGTTCAATTTAAGCAAACAAAACTTTTCAAACAGAAGTTGAAGTGGAGCAGAAAAGGGATGACCACTTCGCCCAGGCCCGCAGACACAAATGGAGAGAGAGAAAGGGAGTGAGAAAAAGTGTGCCCTCTTAATTCTTTCACATCTCAGCAGGTTTGATCTCTGTATGACTGTTACACAGTTCCAAGTTTCAAACTACCCCTGCTCTTTGTTTTCAACTATCAGCCCCCCACAACTAACACAGTACTTCCATACCAAATCCAGTCACTCTTGACCCTTACAGCAGTACAGACATGGAGGAAGTCACTATGAGAAAATTATGACTCTGTTTTTGAGTTCCTGCTCATATTAGACCTGATATTTCCACCCATTTCTGCAGACACTGTTTAACAGAAAACTAATAATAAACCACAGCTTATATCAGCCAAAATAAATATAGCATATTCAGCCATATCCAAAATAATCTGTATGGACACTATGCTTATCATGGAGAGAAATAGTTGAAACCAATCAGCATGCCAATGCTTGTTCATAATAAGCGGAATAGAAAAGAAACGATAATGTGTTTTTGTATATTTATATATTTGTATAGCATATAAAGGTGTGTTGTATTTAAGATCTTAAACAATAGAAATGGCTCATTATTATGATGAGAGTTGCTTGGGAATTTTTTTCATAATGATAGCATCTACATTTGCCACTGAAGCACAGAGTCTAGCAGTCAGTGTGTGAGCTCTTTACTAACTAATGGGTTAATGGTGCAGGTAAAGGTAGTGATTTTGAATGGTATTTTTATATTATTAATTTTTGTGCTTTTAGAAAAATGTTCAGAAATCGGTTCAAATTTAGTAAAAGATGAGGAATAGGATTGAAAGAGAGGACTAAAAAAGAAAAAGTCTAGTTTAAAAGAACGTCCAGAAACTATTATAATTTTTGGCAATTAATTGAGACATAGAAGAATGTATTGCAGACTACACTGAGATCAGTTTGTGAATGTTCATAGTTTGATCCCTTTCAAAGTAATTCTGAAGGATTTGCTGTTGACTACATGATAGATTTGTATAGTGGACAGACACTTCAATGCCATAATTGTCATGTTTACTGTGATGACGTTTCATTGATTACAGTCATACATATATGACATACACGTTTTATTCATATGTATTCTTTTATCAAATGGAAATTCATCAAATTGCCAATTGCCAGCTTGTGTAGGATATTGAGCAAAAGTTCTTCTGCCACTCAAAAACTGAAAGGTCTGTCTCTAGATGTGTACTATGTTAAAGAACAGGTCATATGTTTTTTTTTTAAAGGGGTCATAAGATGCGATTCCTTGTTTTCCTTTTCTTTAGTGTGTTATGTAGCTGTTTGTGCATGTATAAGATCTGCAGAGTTACAAAGCTCAAAGTCTCCCACAAAAGGATTTATTCTATCTAAAAGAGAAGGCTGATCCAGACCGGGCTAAAACGCCTCATTCAAACACGCCCCCACATGTCTACGTCACGATGTGGAAATATTTGCATAATGCCGCCCCAAATGTTCATGCAAAGAAAGAAGGCGTGGTTTCAGGAACCGCAGTAGTGTTGATGTAGCCATGTCAGGGAGAAGCTGTGTGTTTCTGTGCGAAAGCAAAAGCACTTTATTTGGCCTTCCAAAAGTAAATGCAATGAGGAATAATTGGTTAAGATTTATTTACAACAGAACAGCACAACCCAGATGTTCGCATTTTATTTTATGGACGACAGTTTTGTGAACCTAAAAGAGTACAAGGCTGGTTGTGCACAAAGGCTATTTCTAAAAAAAAAAATGGGTCAATTCTGACTTTGCTATGACAATCTGGTGCTTATTCTGAATCAGCTGCTGTAAGTATGTTTTCTTATTAGTTTAAGTATTTGCTATCAACGCGTTTATTGACTGTTCAAATGCGGAGTTTTGCACAGCGCAGAGTAACGTGTCGTGTGTGTGTGTGTGTGTGTGTGTGTGTGTGAGAGAGAGAGGGGAACAGGGTCACATCACAGGAGAGTGAACTGTCTGTCAGAAATCAGCACGTCAGCTGTCTTAACCGCAGCTTGTGTACTGCATCATCACTGTGTCTGTCACGCGACTCTGTTGCCCTTTCGGACTTGAACTGATGGTAAAACTATATGGCGTTATTAACTGTCTTGATATTTACTTTGAAATCTGACACTCGTGATTATGGTAAGGGGCGTTACATTTCCGACGCGTGCTTGTGGTGTTCGGCCAATCTCAATGCACTGGGTCAGCTGGCCAATCAGAGCAGACTGCGCTTGTCGGAAGGAGGGGCTTTGTAGTAAACAACGCTTTTGTGAGAGGTGGGGCATAGAGGACCTACAATAATAATTTGAACATTAAAGCATGTCAACATATTCTGTTACACCAAATACACAAAATACTGATCTTTAAAATAGCATAATATGACCCCTTTAAAGTGTCCTAATATTGTGTTGGAGTCCCCTACAACAGGTTTAAATGCATCTAAGGTCAGAAAACACTGTAATTTCCCCAGAATATACATTTCTACAGTCATTTGATTTCGAAACGGTTCGTTCGATTCAGTTCTGAGCGAAATGTCTGTAAACCTTTATTTGACCCTCTAACTCTAACACTTTCTATTCTATTATAATTCTACTTTATCTATATGTATCTTTTTCATTTTTTTGTTCATTTAAAAAAAAAAAACACTAGCTTTCTATTTTTTCTATTCTATCTACTTGTTTTTCTTTGTTTGTGTGTGTGTGTATAATATATAT